GATGCTGTGCTAGAGGAAGTGCTGGAGGATGATGCATCCGAGCAGCTCCCGGAAACAGTCAATGCGGAGTCGGCGATGCTCAAACAGGGCCTCGGCATCCTGGAGTGTGAGACGGCCCTCGAGACACAGCTCCACGAGGACTTCCACGAGGTGCACAGCGACGAGCCCGGCCCGCAGGACGACAACCCGGTGGAGAACAGTCAGGAATGCGATGCAGGGGATGGCGAGACGACAGTGGTGAGTGCGGCCGCCAGCAGTTCTAAGGCCAGGACCTTGTCTCAGATCCTCGCGGCTTGTCGCTGGTCTGCGATGTCATTGAAGCCTAGCTTGTTTCTGCCCACTCTCGTTGACACTAGAAATGGCAATATTTTTTTCCAGAGACCCTGCAGCAACCATCAGCCCATCCGAGGCAGCCTGGAAGACTACAAGCCCGAAGAGGGCGACAACATCTCGCGAGCAGTGGCACGTGCTCAGAAAATGCAGCTCTTCATGGCGACATTGATTCGGGAGGCACGGTCAGTGGAAGGTTTCCTTTCATCGACCGTCTTGAGCACGGAGGCCAAGCCAATGAAGCGTCAGCAGCAGATACAGTCTGAGCTCGCAGCTGCACGGCGAGACTGGCAGTTGCTGGGCCACAGACAATCTCGGATGGAGCAGTGGTCCCAGTACGCGAAACTCGTCGCTCAGGAAGTGGACACCATTTGTGGTGAGGCTGCAGCTGGAAGCTTGTCGGTGTTTCGTCCCTCCTGGGTCCGAGGCCTCTCGCCCAAATCACTTTGTAGGGTTGTCAGGCTTTTGCTTCCAGGTCTCCTGCCGGCAGGCACCGACAACAAGCGGAGCTATCAGTTCGTAGCATTGCGGGAGCACGTGTGCGGAGACATCCTCATTGGACTGGTGGAAGAGGTCTTCCGTGTCACGGCCCGTAAGACATCTCAGGGCGTCGAGGCTTCAGCCAAGAAGCCGGGGCAGTGCAAGCCTTTCGCTGGAGAGTTGCCGGTGAACCTCACCGGAGCCCTGCACCTCCGCCTGCTGCATGATTGCGGGGATGGCAAATTCATCACCAGTGCATTGCACAAGAAGCTCAGCATTGACCCGCACTCCGTGGAGAAGGGGCGACCGCAGCTCCTCTTCGAGATCCCCTCGACAAGCATCCAGATCAAAGAGACGGAAACCTGTCTGGCCATCAGTCTCGACCCGCTGGGTTTGAAGAGCCTGCAGGCCGCTTCCGGTTGCGATGTTGCTCTGCAGCCGTTGGGAGGCGGAGGCAGCGAGCCAGCAGCATTGGTGTACACCTGCGACTGCTTCGAGAATACGAAGCAAGGGCATCGCATGATCCAGAGCTATGTCCAGGAGATGGGCAAGATGCACCTCAAGGTGGCCGGCAAGCCGCTCTGGGATGAGCATGGCCTCGTGAAGATCCGCAACAATGAGAAGCTTCCTGTTCCAGATTCGGCATTCTGTGTTATTGTGTTATCGACTATTTCGTTTAGCTCACACCTCACGGTGCTTCGTGCATAAGCCTCCTAAGCCTCAACTACCCAGGGTCCGCTGGATCGAGCTCGTTGAACGGGCGCCGAGCTACTTCAGCAAGAAGTTCCTCACCAAGACCATCGCTGGCAAGGCGGCTACTACGGTCAAGGACTTCTCTCGGAACTGCTGGAACGAGCTCCGAGTGGCAGCTCCAACAAAAACCCAAGGCTGCGGGGCACTCTTGAGCTTTCTGCGGGCGTTGCACGACAATGCACCGCCGACACATGCTGATGTGTGAGTGCCGAGATCCTCCATCTAAGATGGGTTCCACGGCTTTTCAGGGTGCAGTGAAAATCACTCCACAACGACCATCTAAGATGGGTTCCACGGCTTTTCTTTTGTGCAGTGAAAATCACTCCACAACGACGCCCTCGACGACTTCACGAATGGACGGCGAAAAGGAGTGTTTCCGAGACAGTGTCTGCATGAGTGTCTGCATGTCAACCTGTTGTTGTCAACTTCCGAAGCTTAAAACCCAGACCATGCCCGACGCCTGCGTAATACATTTCCCGTGCCTGTTGACCCCCCAAGGGACTATTGTATTTCAGGGGGGGGCCCCAAAATAGCCGTTGGAGCCATCTATAAAATGGAAAACGGAGTCGGAGTGGATAAGTACATGGCTGCTTTTGATGTTTTTGACGGCAACCAAGGTCCAGGTAAAGAGACTTGAGGCTTGAGCTTTGTGAGGAAGCCATGTTCGTGCATGGCGGTTCGGCTCGAGAGGGACTTTCCGTCCTCACGCAGTTTGCCTCAACGAGTTGATATCCCGACATCGCAACCCCGCAAGTCTCATCAGGTTTAGCTCCGGGCGAAAGCAGGGAATCCCTGTGGGAACCTCTGACAGCTTCGGCCGGGGCCGAGGCGAACATGCCGTGGTGATTTAGTGTCAGACTCAAGGGGAATGCCTTGTAGGCGCTGCGGACACATTTTAGAGTATGGCCCGAAAGGCTGCGCCTCCATCCATAACACTCACAGACTGGCATGCAGAGACTCTGCAAGGGTTCAGCATCACTGTGCATTTATCACCCAGATGCAGCAATGGTCCCTGTTCTTTCTAGTCAGAAGAGCCTTCGCAAAGTCCCTCCCCTTGTGGTGCGTTCGGCTCTTGCATGGCCAATGCCAAGAAATGTCTGGGTCGACAAGAACTTTGGCAATCATGTTCTGGCACTGCTCGCAGTGAAAGCCCTCTTGCACGGGTTGGCTAGGGCCTTTGTATTCCTTTGGACAGCTGTTCTGCCTTGAGCTTGGAGGCTCTTTGACTTCATGCAGTTTCTGAAAGCAGGCCCGGTGAAACTGCTTCGTTGGCGCTCTACATCTTGCTCCTGTGGAGGAACGAAGCGTCAAGTGAGAACTCCAGCTCTCTCTCTCTCTCTGTCTGTCTGTCTGTCTGTCCTGTCTCTCTCTCTCTCTCTCTCTCTCTCTCTCTCTCTCTCCCTCTCTCTGTCTCTGTTGTAGATCGTTCCATCCTGGCTGCTCCAAGCGCGGTGCTGAAAAGGTGACATGCTGATAGACTGACAGTCATGCTGCCACGCTGCAGGAGTTGGCACCCTGTAGCAGCCCGGCCGATGGTACGCAGGACCTCAGGAAGAGCCGCAGCTCTGTGCCCAGAGGCAGGGAGTGGCTACAAAGGGCGTTCAAGAAGATGCTGAGCAGAGCAAGTCGGGCTCCGGCCAGGCGCTCGGGCGCGAGCTCGGAGACTCGAGAAAGCTCGGAATTTGAGAATCTGATGGTCGCCGCGTCTCGGGAGACGGGTACGCAAATGCGCGAAGGGTCCACTGCTGCGCTGCGGGCAGCAGTGGAGCATCTCAACATCTGCTCTTTGGCTTCCTATGTCCCCAAAAGTAGCAGACTTCCATCTTCCAGGATCTGGGGTACTCGGAGTTGCAAGGCGAGTTTCCCCAAAGCTCTTTGTCACAGACTTCTGATATTGACAGGTTTTGCCGTGATTGTGCCGCGGAGCAAGTGCTGAGACCTGTTGTAGTTCCCAGAGGAGTCTAACAGTCAGCTTTTGCACAGACGCATACGCCGCATGCGTTCACCTCAGCAGAGTCGTCTCGAAACAGGTCTACAGGGCCTACAGGACGATACTGCGGATCCAGACTACGACGTGGGACGGCTTGGCTGATTCCGGAGCAGTCTGCCTGTCTGAACCTCAGCCAACACCTGTTTTGTGCACTTCAGGTCTTCTTTGCAGATCTGCTCACGCCAGGTCCAACATGCAGCAGTTGTTCATCGAGTGATCTGTGGCTGGAGCTTCGATGGCTACTACATCGTGTCACGCCTGTCTGGAGGCTTTGCTGGAGATCACACATTTCTGAACCTGGCAAGATGCTAAGATGCTGTAAGCCCTCGCCTAGGTCTCCTTGAATGCTCGCTTGGTCCGATTATCCAAAGCCCTTCAGCCCAGAACCACAACATCGGTAAGAAGATCTGTAAAGCTTTACTTGAACAACTTGCTGTCCTTCTAGTTTCGAAGCGGATATGCGACAGGGTGAGCGAACCAGAAGCTCGGGAACATCAGTCCCTGCAGATGCCAAAGCCTCAAGCGGATTTTCTTGAAACAAGCCTTCGTGTACTAGGCAGTGCCGGTGCCGAGGATCGAAGGCGGCTCGGCTTTCCGGGTTTCAGCCGTCATGTGCAATTGCTCGGATAGCCGCATGGCACCGTCGTACAAGCTGCTTGTTCAAGCTGATACAGAGCGAGGCACATCCGCCGCCCTTGAAGGAGTTCATGGCAGGTTTGCAGAGAGCCATCCTGGTGATCACATCGAGGCGGAGGCTGCGAACCAAGGGTTCTTTGGCCGGGGGGAGAGGCTCCGGGCTACCTCGGGCAGGGCCCGTTGAGTTTAGATTTCGATGTGCTTTCTGGAAGGAGCCGTTTGGCAAGGCCGCGACCAACCATGACTCGTGGGCGGATGTTGGACTGTCTAGCCGTTGAGCTCGGCAAAAGACACGTCGATGTGCAAGTGCGTGAGGCCACGCATGGTAGCATGATGACACGTAATAATAGCACAGAGGGCATGAGCACGATCGGCACCGAGAGTTCGTCTCGAGCGAAGCCGCAAAGGGCACCGCACATCTTGGCGGAGAGCCATGGGCAAGATGGCGTTGCCGGCGTTGGCGTTGCTGGCGTTGCGGGTGGCCATGGCGTCGCTTGCAGCGGAAGCAGCTTTCGAAGCGGAGGCTCCGGATCTCAGCTGCAGCTTGCAGAAGCGGGACGCGAGGCAGGCGGCCTTCACTCCGGAAGAGGCCGAAGAGGGCCCTCCTCTTGGCGAAGTCGGGAACGGGGCAGAGGAGCTCTCGGCCTCGGCCTGGTCCACTCCCGGCTTGCGCTTCCGTGGGAGATGCTCCGCCTTCAAGGCCTCCAGGGCGCCTTTTTTTGGGAAGCCGAAGGCGCCGAAGCGGCTGGTCGGCACCCAGCTTCTGAGCTCAAGGACCCTCCCGGAGAAGGCGACCTGTCCGCCCGGACAGATGGCCATTGGAGACTTTTCAGAGACTTCGTACAGCTTCTCATGCTGTGCTGCCGGCATCCACTGTGGAGGCTGCCGCAAAGTGGTCGAGGGGCGCTGCACAGAGTGTGCTGCTGGCTACGTCCGCCAGGAGATACCGATCCTCAACGTCTCCATGTGCTTCCTTTGCGATGATGTTCCCGGCTGGCAGGATGCACAGGGCCTGAACTGTCGAGACTACGAAAGCCTCGGCTATTGCTCGAGCCATGACGAGGCGTTCCGGGGCTTGAGCGCCAGTGAGGCATGCTGTGCCTGTGGCGGAGGCAGTGTGCACGCGACCCCCACCAGGGTGCCGCTGATGGGGAAATCCCTTTACTTTGGTCAAAGCATCGACGCTTTTCCAGAGCCCCAGGCTTTCAGCACCCAAGTCGGAGCCTGCAACTTGGCAGAGTCGGGCCTGCAGATCACAGGGTCGGGCGAGGTGTGGGGAAAGGTTTCATCCTCCTCGCAGCTGAAGTGCTCGGTGATGCTGACACAGGACCCGATGCGTGGCATCTTCAGCCCCGTGTCCCTCAACATCCCTGTCTCCAATTTCTCCTACGGCGACCAAGTCTTGGCGTTCAAGTACTGGGGTCTGGACACGATACCATCAACAGGAGGCTTTCCTGTCCAGTCCCGACAAAGGTGGGAGAACTTCCAGCTATCCTGCAACCCTTCATGCCCTTGGCTAGAGCTTCGCACAGATGGCACAATTCTCAGCAAATACTCCGGCTTCGGCGAGCACGCTGACATGGCCATGCCCACGCTCTCCCGATTTGGTGGCATGCCCTCCTGCAGCTGCCAGGTATCGGCACGGGCTGCGCTTTTGCCAGCCCCAACTCCAACTGCCTCCACCAGCTTCTTAACAGTTCAAGCGAGAATGTGGAAGGCAGGCGCCTACGAGTTTTCTTCAGTGCAAGCTCGCAATGGCGTCCCGTTGCATCCCTCGCGGCTGCAGGAACAGGTGGAGGGCCTTCGCTGGTACGACGGCGAAGGCGAGAGCTGGAAGTTGCCGGTTCTGGAGAACACCAGCAGCGGCGAGCGTTTCGTGGTCTCGCCGTCCCTGCCCCCGGAGTCCCTGCGCATGCATCGAGGAAAGCCTAGAGATAGGTAATGATAGGTATACCGTATACCTACCTGTACTCTTATAATTAGATCGCTTCTCCAGAAGCAGAGGCTCCTGGACGTTCAGTGCCGCGACGGAGACGGCAAGGCCGCTACCTACGCTTGGTCTCGCCTCACGGGGGACCTGACCCGCGATGGGTTTGTGGCCTTCAACTTGGACCCTCGCAGCGGCCTCGTCTCGGGTACTCCGCGGCTTGATTTGTCGAAAGAAGGCCGAGGCAGCCTGGAGATTCACTGCAGCATGGCTCTCGGCGGCAGCCTATATGACAAGGTCCTGCCGGTGGCACAGATCACCGTGCATGTCGTGGACGACATGTGCTGGGTCCCGGCACAGGTATCGGGCCATTTCCGCTGGAAGCAGTTCAGCAGCAACTCGTCCTGCCTGGCGCAATGCCGCGAACGTGCGGACTGCGCGGCGGTTCGGGAGGCGAGCTCTGGCTGCCATGCAATGGTGAGCGACGGTGAAAGCGAAGCCTTCCAAGGTTCGGTGCTGCTACGATTGGAAAACTGCTCGGAGGAAGACACGGGCCTAAACCTGACGTGCAAGGGTGCCAGGTACTTGCAGGGAGTTTTGGAACCCTCCAACGACTACAAGGACCAGGTGACCTGGTTGGCACTTCCTTACTTGAACCTGTTGTTTAGAGAGCAAAGAGCCCCAGTTTAGTGTGCCTCTGGCGGTTTTCTGCTGTTTTCCGGTTCCAGGTGTCGTACTCCCGTGCAGGGCTCACGCCGCAGCTCCAGCTCCACCTGGTGCATCGCAGCTTCGCGGAGATCCAGCTGCCCAAGAGCTGCGATGCCTCGTCCTGGCTGCTTGTGCACGCGAATGTTTCGGATTTCCAGAACGGAAGCATGGAGGCGCTTGGTTTGTGCTCTCCACTGAGAGCCACTTTTGCGGAAGTCTCGGCAGGCGCCGGAGTACTTCGGTGCAGCCGCGGCCTGCATCGACAAAGACGTTCTTGCCAGAGCCTCGATAATGCCTCAGTCAGGGGGCTTGGAAAGGGATGTGCTGTGCAGCTGTAGGCCGGTGCCTTCAGCAACGGCTCAGAGAAGTTTGACCTTCGCCTCCTCCCGTCGGAACTGGACGACATTTTCATCCTTGAGAAGCCAAAAGCTCTCCAGCCAGCAGAGCTCTCTCTGGCGATGCCCACATGCGAGCAGCCATCGGCGGGCTTCGTCGTCGGTTCCGTGGAAGACTCAAAGCACTTTTCCTTGGATCCATGCGAATGCTTCGGAGAGCAGCACGCCCGGACGAGCCCAGTGACCGAGTCCTCCAATGCGGCCGTGCCCAGGGTTGGTCCCTTCAACGCTTGGGCCTCAACCTTCGAGAAAAGATAGCTGGATCATGCAGCTGGTAGGTGTATGGTTAGTGCAGCACACGGTCAGTTTCTGTCGGAGTTTCTGTCGGAGTCTCTCCATGCGTCGCATCCTCAGAACGGCTCCGTCAAAGACCAGCTGATCTCCTCTGGCCCCTACACATGCGAGCACATCTCTCACATCCGCCACTTTGCTGCTGCGACTCTGGCGAGCTGTGCCACTGCCTGTAACTCCAACAGCAATTGCAGCTTCTACCAACTCGGTGTTGCTTCAGAGACCTGCACGCTCTTCCGGCGTTGTGATTACCTTCAACAGATTGACCTGCAACTGGTCAACAAGTTGTACGGTGTTGCTCCCAAGGGAGACTTCTGTCGCATCGCGGATCCCGACCAATGCTGGACGAAGATCAAGCGCCGCAGCTATCTCAGCCTCTCCCCATCCAGCGTTCCTCGCTGCCTCTTCCAGGCTCAGTACGATGCCTGCGATGCACTGCAGCAGATCTCTGGGGAGCAGGCCGGGCAATGCCAGCGGTGCCAGTCGCTCGGCGTGCCTTTGCAAGAGTCACAAATCGGAGGTTGAAGTCTTGCACGGGTTGTGTTTGCTTTCGTTACAGACCGTGACTCAGGTACCTGGAATCCAACAGCTCGTACGCTGCCAAAGGAATCAGCAAGGTGCCGTTGCCCGAGGACTTCCCATTAGGTTCGCAGGTTTCCATCGGCTGCAACTACACTGGTCGCTTGTTCTCCAGGCTAGAGAACGGCTTGACATGGGACGGTCCGCGGCCTTCAGCGGTCTTCACCTGCCAGCGGCAAATGGATCGGGGAGCCGGGTGCGTGGCAGCACCTCGAGAACCTGACATGCCTGCAGTGCATCCAGCTCGGGACGCCAGAGTGTCAATCCATCATATTGTCAAATTTCCATCACTGTGTTGCACAATCGGTAGTACTAGTACCCTCAACTTCAGAGCCTCTTGAAGCTTGGAAAGGCTCGTAGAAGACTAGGCCTAGGGGATAGCTGCTCTGATTGTGATTGCCAGGACACCAAGCCTCCGGCGCCTTACCGAAATCACGCTTCCTGAAGTGTACTTTCTGGAACACCGGCGAATACAAGTGACCCACGCCACGACGGCAGGGCCGGGTTGTTCCACCGCCAGCAAGCAGACGGCTTCTCCCTTGAAGGTGCAGGTGCAAGCAGAGGTCTGGGTGGACGTGTGCATTTCGAAGACAGAGATCGCGCTCTCAGCTTGTGGTGACATTCCATCATTCTACCAGGATCTGCAGTTGCGACTCCACGTGACGGGAGCATCAGATGATTGCCTCAAGTACCAGCAAGGGAAGCTCGCATTGTGCAGCTGCGTGGATCCCGGGGCCTTGCGTCTCGAGAGGCAGCGCCTCAGGCTTGGCTCCAAGTGTGTGTTCGCCGACATCCAGAAAGACCCCGCTGCATTTCAGATGGTCGATTGCGATGCCTTGGGCCTTCGGCAGCTTTGGCACCTCAGCTACCATCAGAGTCACAGAGCTTGTTTTCGTGTCGGCTTAGGCTTGATTTTTGCTTCTTTCTCCTTCAGGAGCTTCAGTTCCGGGAACTGCATCTTCGGCATGGACATGGTGGACACGGCGGACCGTGCCTGGAACTTCTCCGTGGCGGTGCAGGGAGATGACAGTGAGCTGCAGTTGGTGCAGATGAAGTTTGCACCTGAGCGCCAGTCCGAGCCGGTGTTGCCGGCGTATTCCTTGGGTCAGTCGAACGCATTCCTTTCGACGTGCCTCACCATGCAGGATGGCAAATTGGTCATCGCAGAAGCACCGTGCAAAGGTGGCTTTGTCGTCGAAGAGTTCCAGAGTGGGACCACCATCGCCTACTATCCGGATCCGAAGCTGCAGGAGGATCCCTACTACCTCTACGACAATGACGGCACAGTCTGCAGCTTAGGCACCAGCTGCGCGTCCCCTTCATCCGGTAGCACTAGATCTGTACATGGGGCTTTGTGTCTCGACCTCCGAGGTCGGTCTGCTGCGTACCACCGCAAGCTTGCCGAACACGGCTTTCTGGAATATTCAGGCCGACAATGGCGGCACGGTGAAGCTCAAGAACGTGCATACGCAAAAGTGCGCGGCAAATACAGGGCAAGCCCTGAAGGTCAACGACGCAAGCTGGACACCCGTAACGAGCACCTTCCAGCTCCAATGCGAACGTTCATTCGTGACTGGATTGTCTTCAAAAAAAGACACCGGCAATTACATGCTATGCGGAGATTGGGATGATGCCAAAGGGACCTTCAAAGGTATGTCTTTTAAGGGGGAAAATTGCCATTCTGCCTCGAAGACGCTGACTGAAAGTGAGAGCAAGGTAACCATCGCGTGCCCGCCGGGTAAGTACTTAATTGACGATCCCGGCAACAATGACAATTCGCTGCCAAATCACGGCCATGACTTTAAGAAGCAGCAGTTGTGGTGGGAATGCTGCGACGTGTCACTTCCACCGTATGTGTGGTTTGACAAGTGGCACACCTACGAGCTGAAGGCCACGTTAACAGATGACGATCACAATTGGAATTACTCCTGCGCACTTGGGAACGACAATGATGACGACGATGATTTGAACAAGTACACAGGCTCCTTTATGACCAATTTCACGTGGACCAGCCACGAGCCCGATTCCAGAGTCGGCTGTGTATCAGGGCTCCACAGCCTGAGTCCCAGCGGCGATGTAACCTTGCAAGCATGCGACAATGTGCTCTCGCCCGCATTCGTAGACTGGGCCATGGATGCGCTGACACCGAAATCAAGCACAGAAGCCTCCCCGGCTCTTCTGGAGGAGCTGTCGAGCTGCCAGGCATGCCAAGCATCCCTCTTCGTCGACTTGAACGAGAGCATCTTCCACAAGACCGGAAGGATCTCCGAAGCCACCAATCTTTCGCTTGAGGTTGATTGCTTTTCCGAGCTTTCCGTGCAGCAGAGGCGCGTCGGAAAGAGAAGTGGTTTGGGCTTAGGGCCTTAGGTCGATTAGGCGGTTTAGGCCCTCTCCGTCCCTCTTTGTCGTCCCTCCCTTCCCAGGCAGGGCTACCAGTACGTGCACCAGCTGTTTGTCCTCGAAAAGACCGGCAAGAAGGAAGAGGTGCTCTTCGCGTGCCAGCAACAGCTGGGGGCAAGCAGCCGCCTCTGTGCCGACCAGGCCTCTGTCAGCCCGAGTGATCTGCAGGGGGCCTATGCCACGGGCTCCAACTTAACCGTCGAAAAGGTGTGCCCTCTGCTCATGAGCATGTCCTCGATGGAGAAGCTCCCAAGGCTTGGGAGAAGAGAGGGGTTGGGAAGGATAGCGATAGCGGATAGACTACCCGCCTGATGCATCTTGAGCCTTGCCAGCTCTCGGTCTTGGGAGGTCGGTAGAGCCCGTGTCTGGGCTCAAAGGGCTGACGATGAAGAGCTTCTCAGACATCATGATGGACCAGGCCTACACCAGCGTCGCCTTTGGGAGCCCACAGAAGTGGCCCTTCCTCTTCAACGGGGCGGGTGATGAACGGGCTGATGCGGTCGGGTTCCTCAGCGTCCCGAAGAATGGGGACCCCGGGACGAAAGACTAAAGTTCGCAATGAACTTGGGACTTAGGAGAGGCAGGCAAGGCCTCACACGGCGGTTTTTGTTCCTGTTCTTGCTTGCGTCGTCTGGCTTTCCCCTGCCCATGCCCGGCAACATGCAGGACACCTTCTGGGGCCTCAGCTGCCCTCCGCAGGCTGTAGTTGTCTCCGAGGGGCAGACGCTGCCTCACTGCTTACACATCGGCGCCTCGGAAGACGAGATGAACTTCACGTCCTTCTCGGGGAGCGCGGCCTGTCCGGCTGGCGCTGCAGTCAGTGGGTGGTACAACCTGCCCGGGATCCCGGTCAAGAAAGGCGAGAAGGGAGGCCCAGCCACTTGGACAGGGCTTCAGGTCTTCTGCCGCAAGACCAGCCTTCTGGCGGCCTGTGCACAGCCCGAAAAAAGCCACTGCGAGGCCGGCACACATGAAAGCAATCTCCATCATTTCTGAGAGCTGCCGGAGGGGAACGAAAGTGCCAGGTGGGCCATGTGGTGAACGCTTTCAGCTACAGCGGCAACCAGTTCAAGCTTGGCTGCTGCAGGCAGGAACTGCGCTGGCGGAGGGTACTGTAGTGGAGTCATCCCATGATTGCTATCCGACACAGTACGAGTTTCCTTTGTCACATCCTTCATAGCGTTGCCCAAGGACTATCGCTTTTGAGTGCACTCAAACATGTCAGTGAACATGACCCGTGCAGGCTTCAGAAGCCCATGGGCACCAAGCTGACCCCAGATCCGCGGAAAGCGCGGCTCTATGAGGGCTTCGAAGGCTACGTTGGGGTCCGAGCTGGGTTGGGGGGGTGGGGGGGTGTAGCACAGCTCACGAGCTCCGCGAGACCTGGGAAGGCTACTACTGCCCCGCAGCCATGGGTTCCACGGGGATGGCAGTGTACCGGAAGTCGCGGATCGGCCCCCTTGGAGAGCCAGGCGCCCTGCCCTACACGCCCTATTAAAAGACCTCCTTAAATCTTTTTGGCCCAGAGATGAGGGGATCAGATAAGACCGGCACTCAGAATGCGATCATGCCGATCCAACTTGTCGCACGACACGTTTCAGTTTAGCAGCACTCATTTGCACGAGCATAGAATAGTCAGTGTAAATGACAAGAACCTTCCGAGAAGAGACGGCCAGGGACCTCCACAGACTTGAATTGGACCCTGAGCTGGGAGAAGTTTGATGGCACCTGGGTCTTGCGTCACGCCCTGGAGAAGTACGCTTCCGTAGAGAGCGATGCTGTGTCGCCGCTGGAGATAGAGGCGAATGCCAAGTTCTCCGCAACTAAGATCGAGGCGCTGTTGTCAGAGGCCGCGAAGCCCAAGGTGCAGAGCCCATTCCCAAAGAAGAAGCCCACATACCCGAAGCTCATCCAATTCCGGCCCGTGCAGCCCGACTACAAGGCGTACTGCAATCCGGCATTCCTGCAGAACCCAAGCCTCTTCAAAGGCTCCATCTCAGACACCAACCCATGCTACCACACCTTCCATGCGGAACTTGTGAAGGCACGGGAAAGCCACTGCTGTGCCCCTGTTACAAAGTTTCCAGGTTTTGGGCATGGGCCATTAGTCATGAGTTGTGGTTCCTGGTTTGATCACCGTCGGGGCAACGGAGCAGAGCTGTGCAAATGCTGTGCAGGGTGTGTCGGAGAAAGGCATCACCGAGAAGTCCTTCTGGTCCTGTGCCGACCGTGGAAAGGCACGGCAGTATCTCTCCAGCATGGCCGAGTACTCCACGGGCAAAGCGAAGGCAGAATCGGCGAGAGAGATGAAGAAGCGCCCGGGCTGCCAAGTGTTTGTGCAAGGCATGTCAAGTCTCTTCGCTTGGCATCTGAGGATAAATATCGCTGAGACTTCACTAGAGCTGGGTGCAGCAATCCTTGGAGCAATTCCCTGGGGCAGCTTTGGAGCCTCGGGTGAAGCCAGCGTGAGGGAAACCAGCACGGAGACCGGTGATGTCTCTGCTGAGACCCACGAAATAGCGCAGCAGCAGGATGAAGCGCTGCAGCAGCAGCAAGGCCGAGAGGAGGTGGAAACTCAGACTGACGGGAACATGTTCACTCCGCCGTTTCCGTTTCCGGTGGAACCGAAGAGCAAGAAGATCGCCACGGGTGTCTCCGGCTTCTTCAGTGGCTCGGCCACCGGCCTCGGGTATTACCAGGAATTAAAGGAACTTCCGGAGGAGAGGGCCAAAGGGGAAAAGTCGCCTTTGAAAGTCGCTAAAGAGATAAAGAAGAAAACGCTCCCCGACTTCGAGGCCAGGCCCCGCAGCGTTCGCGCGGTAATTGAACCCTCGGAGCTTTCGCCCCACGTTTGTCGGACTGGCAGGCGCCCATCTACGAGTTCGACAAAAAGCTGGCCGAAGCCTCATGGAATGACTGCCTGCCACTGCAGTTTGGCCTTTCCAAGGTGCGCTTTTAATGGGGCCTTTCTAGTCTTGCTTCCTGCCATTCCGATGTCCCCAAGGTGCAGCGGAAGTTACCCCTCTAACACCTGCTCCGAGACAAATGCACTGGTTCTGACCCATCTTGACTGGACCAAAGCAGGAGATGATCCAGAAAGTTGCGGCAACCACTTACTGAGCCTATCCGAAATTCCTGCTAACCAGAAGGTCGAAATCATACTCGAATCGTTTTCGCCAACTGAACCTGTCCGAAGCGCTCTAGAAACCCGGCACACTCAACTACTTGACGAACGGCTGTAAATGCCCTCCAAGCACACGCCACAACAACAATCCTCTTGGCACACGCACGCATGCACGCACGCACACACAAGCCCTTTCGCAATCTGGCTGCTTGAAGCCCCAAGCCCCATTCATGATCGTTTGGCGCCAGAACCGTTGTTGTATTCACGTATGCTATCGTACGCTAGTACCAGCCCTCGCTTTGATTGAGCACATGTATTGCTCAAGCGCATCATCAAACCATTTGACGGTCAAGGGGCTTTTCCGCTCATCACTTTGCCTCAGTGCTGACTTCACGGCGCACTAGAGACGCGAACGTGACACTCTCCGTTCGTGAATGCAGTCTTGTCACCTGCTCTTGCAGGTTTGTGTTTTGATGGAAGATCACCAAGTCTGAGTGAGCCCCTCGTTGCGACATGTTGCGACCATGTTGATCCTATTGAGTTAACTATCCAGGATCGAGCACAGTTTGCATCGTTTCGAGACTTGAAACAAGTAGGCGTCACAGCGTAACATGGTAGCCTGGAGGTTGCAGGACTCTCAGAACGTGCTGCTCGAGAACCTCCAGGCGGCAGGGCCGGCAGTGTCTGCGAAGCGGCAGCTGATTTTTGTTCTTCTCCCTCTCTCTCTCTCTCTCTCTCTCTCCGGATTTGACCAGACGGTTTTCTGAGAATCTGTGCCGGATGCACAAGTTCAGGCGTTGCTGAACTACCAGACAGAGTACATCCTTTGGGCGATTGGGACCTTAGCTAAGAAGGACGCCAACGACACCGGCAAGAAGCACGATGCTCGGGCACCGGAGGCCAGCACCTTGCTCGCGGATCTGCAGAAGATCGACTTTGAGGACATGGCACAAGTGCAGCCACGAGAGATTCTGACCTGGCACGCAGCTGCCGGCGAGCAGCTCTACTCTCGCATTGCTGCCTTGGTAGTGAATGCTTCCAAAGAAACCTGGCCTTTGCGGCTGAAGTCTGCTCGGGGCATGCTGCACCATTTCACGGCCGCTTTTCAGCAGCGGCTGCGCGCTGGTGCTCCGCAGGAGTCTCAGGTGGCAGGCAAGCTCCAAGCGCTGCGCTCTGGGGTGGCCCGGCATCGGGACCGCGCGACGAAGATGCAATCACTGCACGTGCAGATGGGCTTCAAGTCTCTGTCCTCGCCATTGGTCGAATCTTTCCTCCACGTCCATGAGAAGCACGGCACCTACAGCATGCTGGAGATGAGAGCTCTTGAGCTGATGGATTCGGCCGTCGTGTCGGCCCAGAACTTCTCCCAATGCGACAAGGACAGCAAGGCCATGCGCGAGAGCTGGCAGCGTGCGATGTGGGCCGAGGAGAGAAGCCAGGAGGCGGGGGAAGCTTCCTTGGGATTTCTCGGGTCTTGCAGGCCCAGTTTACCTGACCATGTGCAGGCTTTGTTGGAGGCCTGGGCTGCCACGGTGTCCGGCGCAGAGCGGCTTCTCATCGCCCTGAACCACGAGCAGCTCTTGTTGCGCCTCGTAGATTTTGCCAAGGACGAGTGCAGCTCTTAGGGCTGCCCGAGTGCTTGAACTGTGCCTTGGTTTTCCCAGGAGGACATGGACATGGAACCATTTTGTGCCGACACGCAGCGGCTGGCGCAGCAGTTCTATGGTCGGGCCGTCTCCTTGTTGGACCGTGCCGCGTGGCCCCTGGTGCAGCAGGCGATCACCTTTCAGGCCAGGGTCGCCATGCAGGTTAGCTTTGCCGCTGCCAAAACCCCGCTGAGGCCGTGGCATCTTACCAGGAGCAGCAGCTGCAACTGAAGCACTTGCAGTACGTCCCCTTGCCCGAGATTTGGCAGACCTTGAAGAAGCAGCTCGCTGCCGTGGCGGAGCCCTCGCAGCCGGAAGGTTTGCAGGTGGCCGCAGAGGCGCTGGCGGCCATGGGCCCGGAGCTCTGTCCTGCGCCCCAAAGCTGCCCACGAGGACTTCAGCTCGCCCAGGGCTTCGAGGCCCACGGCCGTGCCTGCCAAGCCGCTGCAAAGACGGTGCATGTGATGTCGCCGCACGCGGCAGCCGGCTTGGTCCAGCAGCTGCGCCTGCGTCCGGAGCCTCTGCGCAGCTTGGCGTTGCTGCGCGAGGTGGAGGTGGCGGTGGAAGGTCGCCAAGGGGCACCAGCTTGAGACGCAGAATTTGTTGCACGCCGATGGTGTTAGGGCGTCAAGGTGGGCTAGTTGCCGACTGCGAAGGAAAATTGGGAGTTGCAGAGTGTAGACAGATGTATTTCGACTTGCGTCTTTTGTCGGAAAGCAGGAGGTCCCCTCCCAAAGCCACTTCGGTGGTGACGCTGCACGTCTCACCTCTTGGTGATCTTTATAGGCCGTGCCCAGGTGGCCAATGTGCACGGGGCGGCCACGGCGGCCACTCCTGCTTAGCTTATAAGCGTTCCTCTGTCACTGGCTTTGCAAGCTAGTCCCTTAAGCCAAATGCGCCTCTCCATTAGTTTTTTTTTTGGAGGCTGTTTTGGCAGTGTTGGGCAGGCTGTGCTACACTGAAGTCAGAGGAGGGTGGCTGTGGAAAGATAATCTCCGTTGATGTGAACTTTTGGCATGCTCGCGCATTCCCTGGGGCAAGCCCCGACTCACCGACTTATCATGCCTCTCTCAATCGGCAGGATTTGATTCATGTTTCTGATCTGGGGAAGAAGTATCTGATACTCTAGAGAAATGAGACGGAGTTGGGGACTGAAGATGTTGAAGATTACGACGAACAGAGAATGGCACATCATCTAGATAAGAATACTCGTTCGGGTCCATGTGGGCCTCAAGGCTGATGTCAATTCCCACCCCACAATCCAATCCCACAATCTTTCACACTTCATCTCCTGATACTGCTCAGATTCTTGAGCCAACGCCCCAAGTGCGCCGGCATGTCTGAAGCAAGCTTACATATGCGGAACATGTCTCTGTCCATGCCCCAGCAACACTCCTCCTTGGCAGGGTACTGCCGACAGAGGCGTGCCCTGGCACACCCTAACGAGACCCGCATCTTGCTCTTGAAAGGGTGGACTATTCCTTCGCCCTTCCGTCAAAAAGTTCACGCAAAATTAGGCGCACAAACTCAAGCGCTCCCTGGCGATGCGAAGCTTCTCACGGCCTAAAGCCTTCGTCAAAGCATCTGCGATCAGATCTTGGCCAGAAACATGCAAGGCCTCAATCCCATGAGCCTTCAGCACGTCCCGACTCCAGGCTGCTCTCAAGGCAAAATGCCTTGTTCGCATCTCTAAAGTTCGGAATTCAGACTTCGTAAGTGTAATCAAGTCTGCCGTGTTGTCTGTCCTCAGTTGAGCTGAAAGGTCCGCACCTAAGAACTGAGCCAACAACGTTTGCACAGCTACCCCACGCTCCAGGGCTAATGCTGACGCCTCCAGTTCCGCCTCCGCTACACTGAAAGCGGTGAGCTTTTGGCGCTCGCTTTTCCATGCCAAAATGTGGGATCCCCATTGAATGACTACTCCACTTCGGGAGCGACCTCCTGTAGGGGCAAAGCTGGCGTCTCCGGAGCACCACAGCTGATTGCCTTGGCGTCCCCACCCATACGTCATGCACTGATTCCACGTAGCCCGTAAATATCGCCACACTTGTTTAGATGCTGCAAGAACCACATTCGGCGTGATGGTAGCTTGACTGGCCATTGCGCCCACGATCGCGGCAATATCCGGTCGAGAGCGGATTGCTACCCAAAGCAATGACCCTAACTCACCTTGAGTGTCTTTCAATGTCTGCTGATACTGGGCATCCCGAGTCATGGGAGGCAACTTGCCAAAGTCATCGATGTTGGGCAATGTCACGGCGCCAGCCAAATGCAGATAGCCACGCTGTCTCAGGGCCTGAGCAATCCAACGGGATTGACTGACACGAATTCCTGTGTCATGTGTGCTAATCTGAAGTCCCAGAAAGGTCAACTCGTCCTTCCATGGAATGTCAAGCCCCTGCGCGTCCGTGATTTTTCGCGGCTGAACACCAGGTGGAGCCAACAATCCTTGACATTTCACCTTCCAGATAGAACTAATATCCCTAGCGATCATCTCAAGGACCTCAGACTCGGCAGCCATGAGACAGTCGTCCACGTACGAAACCACCAGACCAAAAACCTGAGACTCGGTTGTGGCATCAACCACTTTCCAAACGCCTGCGACCCCTTCCATGCCTACATACTTCAACTTAGGCATCGTGCTTCCTTTCGGTGGCTCAATTATGCGTCCTGTGATTGTGCTGTCTCTCAGCTGCTCCCACTCTTTCGGGCTTTTGCGTCTACCATAGATGGACTTGTGAGCCCACCAAACTTCATCCTGCTCGGCTAGTCCCAATCGGACTAACACAGGCGGTGGTCGCATGACACATGCGGGTCCCTCGATAACAGCATTCAAGAATGCACAAGACACGTCGAGCGCCCCAAGACACCAGTTCTGGCGTTGTGCAGTCTCTGAAATCAGCATGCGGACCACTTCAATCCCTGCATTGTTGGATGTATATTCCGCATCCCCTTTGGCTGCTTCCGTCTCGTAGTTTCCACATGCGCATAGCCTCACTTTTGGAAGCCAAGCTTGCGAGGCCTCGATGGCTGCGTCCTGTGCACTGTTTGTACCCGAAGCTGCTGCATTCACGTCTGGTTTTTCAGTGATCACCAGTGTGGTTGGGATGATCTCCGGCCATGGTTCGTCTTCTCCCAGACCCAGAGTGGTCCTAAGGTCTGACTTGCGAAGCCGAGTGAAAACGCCTTGATCAGCCATTGATTCCAACTCCTTCTGCAGCGCCGAAAACCATATCTGCTGTTCCTTCCCTGTTCCCTGAAAGAAAACCTGCGTGTCCCGGACCTTGGCAGCGGCAGGAATCTCACTGGCTGCCCAAAGGTCACGCTCTACTTCCTGTGCTTCTTCTTCCATGTCCCAGGGTAGGACCTGATACTGCTTGGTCGAGGTTGTGATTACTTGATTTGCTCTTGCTGCTCCTGCGACATGCGGTCCAGCAGCTTGTATGAAGTCAAAACCCCCCGCATGACCTGGACCGTACTCGCGCTCCTCCAGCGTGAGCAAACCCAGATCCTGGCCCAAATCTCTCACGTACTCTGCGTCTCGAATGTCTCCCTGATTAGACACCCAAACCAAATCCCCCAGTGGCGTGGTATGGGTCTTCCACTGCTTAACAGTACCTGGCAATCTTGTGGGCATGCGTGCTCGAACCACACTCTCAACACCATTACGAGTCACCAAGCAAAGGGCCCCGCGACTCGTGTGATCATCCTGGCATAGATATACTGCCCTCTCAACTTTTGGTTCGAAGGGTTCGGGAGCTCGCTTGTCAATGACCACAGCAGTCCCTGGCGTAGGTTGGCCCTTTGGGACTTTCATGTTTAGAACCTCCGCACGCTGTACAATCGACGCCTCAATCATTGCAAAGGGCCACAACTTAATCGGAGCCCCAGCCTTCAGCAAATACTTGAGTGCTCTCTCCTTCAGATCCCGAATGGCCCGTTCAGCCTTACCGTTCTGTTGTGGATGGTACGGTACCGTTGTGGTTTTGAAAACGCTGATAGCCTCTAGTGCCTCTGCAAACGCTTTCGTCACCAATTCCTTTCCATTGTCCGAATGCAATCGTACCACAGGCGGAACTGTTCCAGTCATAGAGCCTATCTGAGCAATCACGTCCTTGGTGGCTGCTAATACACCCTGCTGAAGTCGTGACTGAAGTGGTCGAGCAAAATACAAGGAGCCGTGGTCTGGCGTACTGAAGGCACACACCAACATATACTTGTACCTACAGATGCCTGATTTGTAGGGACCAGCAATATCAATGCTCAAACAACCACTTGCGAAATCCTCGGCTTTCAAGCGTCTGTGCGGCTTCAAGGTGCCTCGAGCACCAAAGTCCTCGAACGAATGTCCCGGAGCTTGCTTGTGAGCGTATGTCTCCTCCTCAGGAAATTCCTCAGATCTGTCGATCACAGCTGCCAGGTCCAGGTCTTCGGGATCAAGCGACATACACTCATCACCATCGCTGATTTCTACGATTTCGCCAAAACAAACCCGAGAAGCACCATACCTGTCCTGGTCCCCATCAACCCTAGCCTGAGCTTCACAAACATCCTCCCAAAAATCCCGATGACCTTCATCTAACTCAGTACCGCTAGGCACTGAATCGTTACCTGAGTTGTGGAGGTCCGCGAGTTCCTTGGTTGGGGGCATGCTGTTGTTTGTAGCTGCCGCGGTTGCTGGAGCATGTGGATTTGGACAGGGTACTTGCAAGTGATGGGCACCCAGGGGCTCAGACCCGCATGGGGGTGCTGGTACATCAACCATAGCCTCTGAAGGCAATGGAAATCCGCAGGCAATGAGGGTAGCGCGATCATGCGGTGACAGTTTCAGGACACCACCTCCAGAGTACACAGATATTGTGACACGGTCTCCTTCCCAGCTTTCAGTGCCATGAAAAACCTTGCCATCAAACTCTAGCGGTCGTCTGCGGATGTCATGAACATGCCCTAGCATCTCCACATTTGGTTTGACGAGCCTAGCTTCAGAGCCGTGTTCATCTTGCATCCACAATCCTCCACCCGTGCACTCTCTGGGCGAGGTAAGGCACACCAGTCCATTTCTGCTGTTTACCAAGTTTCTGGTATCCTTGTGGGGCAAAAATGTGAGGTTGTCATTGACAATCAAGGTGGTGAATGGCAAGGCAGGCATAACCTTCTTCATGAATGCCACTAACACACGAGTTAACTGGGGCCTTTCGCGCAGCATACAGGATAAGCCACACGTGCCACCATGAGTCCACATGCCAAACATCCATGTGCGGATTAGGTGGTCAGTCCCGTCGATACAGGGTCTGTGCTTGATCTGTGGCTTCAGGCTGCATTTACGAATCAGACCAAGTATGGAATCATACGTCATATGCTTTGGACCTTTGGCAAGCAGTTCTGCCGCCCACGCCTCCTCGGCAGCAACTGCATCCTGCATTGCCGACCCTTTGAGTGGCTGACTGGAGTTTGAACCTGCATCACCATATCGGCTGACATCCGCGTGGGCACACAGTTCATGAATCTCCTCCAATCCCACCGCCGTCATAAACCTGACCTCACCACCTTCAGCCTCAACTGAGGACCCAGACAGTGTCTCCTCCTGGCC